CCGCGGCGCGCTGGCCCCGGGCCCCTGCGTCCTGCGGGCGGGCCGGGGCAGCTGCAACCCGCGCCACGCTCTCCCGGGCGCTCGCTGCCACGCGCGTCGGCTCCTCTGTCACCTGCTTGTCAGCCCCGGAGCCCGGCTGCAGCAGCGGCGGCGGCGGCAGACGGAGCCGCGGGGAGGAGGCGGCAACCGGGGCGACGACGGCGGCGGGCGGGGGAGGGGGCGGGGGTACAGGGGCGGCCCTGCGGGCTGGGGGGGGGCGCGGGCAGCACAGCGGGGTCCCGGGCGGGGCGCAGCGGGCCGCGGGGCTCCGGGCGCGCTCCTCGCACTACTCCAGTGCCATGGTGCGCCCGAGGAGCCGCTCGGTTTAGAGCCGGGGCTGGTGGCGGAGGGATACTCCGGCCGGGAGCCGCCTCACCCCTCCTCAAACTTCCTGACATTTGAACTCATTGGTGCGCCTCGTATCCCTGCGCCGCGATGAGCCGGCGGCTCCACGTCAAATAGTGCCGTCGCCGCCCCCCCCCTCGCAGGAGGGCTCCCCGCGCCCCCGGCCTGAGCCCCGCGCGGCCCCTGGCCCCGAACGCGGACCCCTGCAACCCAGCTGGCCGGGCCGCCCCGCTGGCCTCTTGCCGAAGTTTTGGTCGCCTTCGAAACCAGTTCTCTGCCCCACCCCCTTGAAAAATTGATCTGGGAGTTGGAGAACGAAGGCTTTCTTGTTTCCTTCTTACTGTCTTTCTTACTAATATTTTGTAAAGCTTCGGCGCTCGGAGGAGTAGCCCCGAGTGAGGCCTCACTGCACGAACGGCGGGCTGTTCAGCGGCTTCTCCAGGGGACGGCGCCGGCCGGGGCAGTCGCCCGGGCCCAGGTAGGTGGCAGGGGCAGTGTTGACGAGAGTCCACCGCCCCAGGACCCCCCTCCCCGACTCGGGCCGCGGGGAGGACTGGCTGCGGGGGTCGGAGGACAGACGCGGGCAGAAGGGCATGACTGGCCGCGAGTCCCGGACTCGCCAGAGGGGACTGGGCCTAGGCTCAGGGTCGGGGTCGGGGTAGGGGGTGGCGTGGGGGCTTCAGGCCTGCTGGAAACTGGATGGAGGAGTGAGCTGATGTGGGACTTGGGGCCCCGGAATCGAGATGGGGGGCAGTGGGTAGCCGAGGCAGGTCAGGCCCGGGTTCGGGCGAAGGGAGTTTAGAGCATGGGTAAGACTGGGAAGAGGGTGGCGGGCAGGATGGGGACGGTGGGGACGGTCTGACGTCTCCAGGTTTGGAAAGTGAGGCGCGGGCAAGGAGTGAGGGCCCCAGGGTTTAGGGATGAAGGCTTGGGGAGATGTGCGCTCCACGCAAATCCGGTTTGACCCAGGTTAAGCGCCCTGTGGAGGTGGTCGAGGGAATCGAGCGGGATCCCGTACGCTACGCGATGAGTGACAGTGCCCCGGCCAGCCAGGGCCAAGTGGGCCTGGACACTGCCGAGCGGAAGGCCGGCAGGACAGAGCTGGCGACTCGGGCCCAGTGACCGCTGCGCCGGGCCACAGGGCGCTGCGCCCAAGCTACGGCCCTGGATCCCCAGCAATGCGCTGGCCGTCCGGGCGCAGGAGGGCTTTTGCGGCCCGGGACGGCGCGGGCTGCCCCGTGAGCCTCGGCGAGACGGACCTGGCCCCTCCGGGGAGCTGAGCAGCGGCGCGGAGCGGGGAGGGGGCGGAGGGCACGGGGGCGGGTCCCCTGACCCCGCCGGAGGCGAGAGGGCGGATCGGATTTGGAGCCTGCGGGAGGCTTGGTCAGAAGTGGCCCCCTGTGCCGCGGGGCCCCGCGGAGGGGCCCAGCTTTGTGGAGGATTAGAGGCTCCCGCCCCACCCCCGTACCTGCGAGGGTGTCGGTGGGGATCTGTGTGTGTCTCTGCGTGTCGGCCCTCCCGCCTCCGGGGCTCAGGCGAACGTGTGCATCCATGTCTCTGCACACACACTATTTCGTATGTCCCTGAGACTTTCCGGGCTCCGAGGGTGTGAATTTGGGAATCTGTATCTGATTCCCCTGCATCCCTCTGCATGTGTGTGTGAATCTGCCCTCTTTCCATGCCCGTGTCTTAGGTGTTTCAGTACATCTTTTGTGTATCCCTGTGTGTCTCCGTCACTCTAGGAGGGTGCCTGTGTCTTCGTGTGCATTTCAGTCCCTGTATTGTGTCAGGAGATTTTTCTGTGTATTTGTGTCTCCGTGTCACCTTTGTGTGTCTGTCTGTCTCCGAGTTTCTGGATGATTTTGCGGCTCCCATTGTGTGTGTGTGTGTGTGTGTGTGTGTGTGTGTGTATGGTGTTCATGTATTTCTCGGTGCCTTTGTGTTTCTGTATTGCCCAGGATGGGTAAGTGGTAAGTGGATGTGCAGTTTTCTTCACATGCCCTACCTCCTCTGTTTTTGCCTAGCCTGGGAAACCCCAGGCCTTGAGCCTCGAGGTAAGGCCTGGGCCGCCTTCTGTGGGCATTTGGGCCGGGGCGCGCCGCTGCCGAAAGAAGCCAGGCTTGCAAGGCCCCTGCACACTGCACCGGGAGGCGCTGAACCCCGAGCCTGACTCCGGGCGGACCGGGCGCTTCCTGCCCTCTGCTGGTCACGGTTCGTCCCTGCAGTCGCTGCTGAGCGACCGCCTGTAGGCTAGAGTCGTTCCTGGAGCAGACAGACCCTCGCCCTCGCCTTCAGGACATAAGGGAAATCCTCTCCGGTCACGGGCCCTGGTGCAGGGTTCCATCCCGCTCCTCCTATCTCCTACTCCCACCTTCCCGGTGCCTGGCCTCTTCCTCTCCGTACCTTTCCTTCCTCCTCCCCCTCGGCTGAATGCGGGCCCCTGTGGCCAGGCCCCCAAGGCTCCCCTGACCCTCGGACTGGTGTCCAGGCCCGGGGCCGGAGATTGTGCCCAGGGGCGCGTCCCCGGGCGCCCGCAGGCTGTCTGGCGCAGGAGGATGCACCGGCAGCCCCCGCTCAGTGCCGCCGCAGGTGTGTCCTGGGCGCCTAGATTCTTAGCCTCTTTCCCGGGCTCCTGTCCGAGTCACCGCCCACGCCACCAGGGTTGACTTGAGACAGCCTAATGAAGCGCGGGGCCGGCGACTGGGTCGCTGTGCTCCGGCAACAGTGGAGCCGGGTCGCCTTCTCTGGTCCGGGTGAGGATGTTCGGTTCACAACCACTGTCTCCTCTGCAGGTCTCCTCATCACTCTCCGCGGCCTCCCCACTCCCCGCAGGCCCTGTTCCTTGCCCTTTGTCCGCGCTGCCCGGGTCCCCCGTTCTCTGAGCGAGCGGACTTGGCGTCCCGGGTCCTTCGCACACAGCCATGCAGAGGTCTTTTCTGGGCACCATCAAAGCTCCTGCACCTCCTCACCGCTGGCCCTGTCGAAGAATAAGCGACTGGACGGGAGGACAGGGGCCCAGGCTTCCTCAGGCCCGACCTGAGCCGAGAATGCTGGAGACCCACGACGCCGGCCGCTGCTGCGCCGGCGCCTTCCGACCCGGGATTCTTCGTGGCTTGGCAGCGGAAAGAGGTCGGGATGATCTCCAGGTAAGGAAAGGCTAAATTGGCGGCTCGCTGTTGCTTGGAAGAAGCAAAAAGAGAAAGAAAACTCTGGCATAGGGTTCTAAGCTCTTCGAGTCCTGCGGGAACCACGTCCCCAGGAGCCCTGCCTGGTGTCTCCTAGCTCTTCTTAGGGCCTCGCATCCCCCACCCCTTCCTAGGAGCTTAGCGGCCAGGGCCCTCCTCCCCCGTGGAGCCCGTCATCCTGCCGATCCCCTCCAGACAGTTTTGCATGTCTGACTAGGGCCAGATCGCAGGATACCCTCCCAGTTTATAACTTTGGCTGGAGGTGCAGATCGGGGCAGGGTTGAGGCACTGTTAGGGCGCAGGGCAGAGCTGGGTGCTGGGTCCTCGGGGAAGGAAGAAGGACCAGGAGCTTCGAGCCTCAGTTGTTCTGCTCTGCGGGAGAGCAAGGGCCACACAGCTGCCTGGGGCCATTGGCCCTGGCCAGCCTCAGACCTGCCAGAGGAGACCACACTGGAGCGGAGCCCCAAGTCTCCAGCCAGTTTAGGAGCTGCTATTCCTGGGACTCAGCCCACGGGCTGGGGTGCTGTGGACAACTACAAAGACTCCAGAAGGACGGCAAGGTGTGGTGCAGTGGAGTGCTAGCAGCAACTGCACTCCCCTCCATAGATCCTGGCTGCATTTGACCCAGGATGCTTGGGTCAAAGGGTCAGACAAATTATAAAGCAACAGGTCACTTCCACAACCCAGTGTGTCAGAGGTCTTCCTGTGTGGTGGGGAGCCCCTAGCGCCCAGGTGGAGACCCACAGAGAGGAGTAACTGGGGAGGGGGCCCCAGCTGGGCATTTTCTGACTTTACATGGGAGCTGGTTCTTACTCTTCCCTCTGGAGTTTTGCAGGCTGATGGGAGAGAGGTGACAGAGAGACAGGGATTTGCTGGTGAGCCAGTGTGGGCTCTGAGGCCGTGAGCTAGTGTGTGCCTGTGTCCAACGTGGGTATGAGCAAGCCTCAGCCAAGTCCCTGTGTGCTCCCGGCAGGCCCCTCTCTGGCCACAGACTTAGGAATTTCAGCACAAGGTCTGGGTCATGGGATTCAGTATGGGTGTTAGGAGACTGTGCTTCTTTAGGTTCAAAGGCTGCTATCAGCCCTCAGGACCAGTGCTGAGAAAGCAACAGTGCCTGGCTGGGCGGCGCAGGGCTGAGGCCTCCCACTGGCCAGGCAGTGGGTAGGAGTGATCAAGAACAGGTCTCAGGGACTCCCGCAGATCCAGCTCGGCATGTGGCTTTGGGACCTCCAAAAAGCTCTGCAGCTCTGCGCCTCCATATCCTTGTCCACGAAATGGGTGCAATGCTGGCATCAGTCCCACAGGGTTGGGGAGAGGGTGAGATGCAAGAGCTTGGCCCGGAGCCCGAATGGGACAGGCTTCTAGAGCTATGTGGTGAATAACTGGATGAAGGGCCCTGCTAGCAGGATGTGGGAGCTCTCAGCTGCCTTTCTTCCAGCTAGGTCCTGAGGGAAACACACCTGGCCTGAGCTCAGCCATGGCCCTTCCTTCAGGGTGATGAAGCTCAGAGGCAGGCCCCTGTGGCCTGGACATGGAGGTGCCCAACAGTCCCCTGAGGACTGGCACAGACTGCTCAGCCTTCTTCAGCTCCCTGCCCTGAACCTGGGGACCAGAGTAGCCATTTGCAGTCAGATCCTTGGAAGGCAGCAGAATTAGGGAATTTGGCTTATTGCATGCAGACCGCGATGTGGCACTCTCCAGGTGTCACTTACATTTATTTTTAACAGGCACTTTCCCCAAGAACCTTTGGGTTTCTTGCCAACTAGATGGGCTGGGTTATTTCTAGCCCATCTAGAACCAGGGGCTTCCTTGACCTCGAATCTGAGCCAAAACAAAGGGAGGGTTGAGGACTGTGCGTGGAGCCATGAAAGCCCCATTAGGACTCTGAGAAAAACTCACAGAAACACATTTCATATGAATTGGACACAAATCCACAAAACTGGAGAGTTCTTTGGTCTCCATCCTCAGATCCATGGTTGGAGAGGGGGGTGGGTGTGGGAGGGGACCAGTGCCCGTCCCATTTGATCTTTATCTTAAATCTACTTCAAAACGCTGGGGCCTGCGGAGTTGGAGATTTGCCCCTTCCTGTAATTATTTGGTGTCTAGTAAAGTTTTTATGAGTGTCTGCGCAAATGAACGCATCTGATGTGCATTTGTTTTGGTTAGAGCTGCTTGATGTAGGAGGTGTGTATCTTCTCTTGGTCCTCCGAAAAGAAAAGATGACAGTGGAAATAAAAATAAAACCAAGACCTCCGGATCAGGCAGAGGGGTGGGGCTGGGACAGTCCCACTGACGACCACCAGTTTTCTGAGGCCAGGGCCTGAGCCCCAGGGACACTGCCAGCCAGGTTTGCTGGACAGTTCTGAGGGCTGGGAGGTGGGCCTGGTCAAACCCAGATTCTACGGTGGTTTTTCTGGAAACGGAAGGAAGCTTGCCTTCCGATTACTGTCCTCTGGGTATACTTGGCAAAGTCAAATGAATAATACATAAGGGTGGGTTTTTTGGGGGTCACGTTATCATTTAAGTGGCAAAGCATGCCTTTTTCTCCCAAATGTGAGTTCGGCAGATCCGGCGCATGTGCCAGCTGTCTGCCTCCCGAGTAAGGCAGAGCAGTCAGGCAGCATGGCCTCCTCCTGGGTGGCTTGGGAAGCCCATCTACCCCTGCCATCCAAGGACGAGCGGCCAGTCCAGGGTGTCAGGAGCTAAGAGCACCTGTCCCACTCTTGGGTCTCTGACGGTGGCCCAGGATGCAGCCTGCAGGTATGTTCATTTGGGCCCACACTTGCTCTCTCTCCTCCGAGTCCTACAGTCTTGATTTACTTGTCTTAAAGTTACTTTAGCATTGTTATTGAAGTAGAATATGCATATAGAAAAATGCACAAAGCATAAACATATAGCTGGATGTGCCCGTGCTACCAACCCTCTGCATTTAAGAGAGACCCAGGATCCACGTCCATGCCTCTTTCCAAATGCTGCTCACCGTCTCCTCCATGCAACTACTGTCTTGATTTCTACCACTGCATACAAGTTTTGCCTGTTCGAATTCTATATAGTTACTTTTTTTTTTTTTGGTACAGGCAATCAAACTCAGGACCTTGTGCTTTGTGAGACTGGCGGCAGCACCACTGAGCTAAATTCCCAGCCCTCGAATTCTGTATAAATTAAATCATATAATATAGACTCCTTCCCATACTTTACTCATGAGATTTTGCATGAAGAGCTGAATTTTTCTCCTGAATCATCAGGGGTGTGATGTTTGGACCCTCATTTCATTAGGGTGCTGAAATCTGCAGCCAAATCTCCCCTCCATTCACCGCCCCCCCCCCCGGCAGGACACCCTCTCTATTCCTGTGCCCTTCCAGGGGACACTGGTGTTGGCGACTCCTGCTATAAACCCAAGGCTCCCCTCCAATCAATAATCTGTCCCAAAAAAGGAATCACTGGAGAAGCACATCTAGAATCTTCCCTCATCACTCCCTGCCATCGCTATCTAGTACCCTCTAAAGTAGAATCTGTAACAAATGAGGAAATAAGCACCCCAGAGAGGTGAAGCCACTTGCCAGGGGGTCACACAGCATGCTAAGGGTCAGATCCTGGAGCCGAACCCAGTTGGCCTAATTCCAAACCCAGTTCTTGTCACCTCCCCACATGGCTCCCCTGGGGATCCAGGCCCAGGCACGAACAGTTCCCTCCTGCCTCCTTCCAGGGAGGAAGCTGGACTTTGTCCAAAGGAAACGCTGGGAAACACAAAACCCCAAAGAGAAACAGGGCAGGCATGGTTCCCAGGCCCTGGCTGCCGAACCTGGGCTGAAGCAAGTCTGGTCTGGTCCGGTCTGGTCCGGTCTGTTTGGGTGCAGCCTTCCTATGTGTATTACAGGAGGGTGTCCTGGCACCATTGAGGAAGTGTCCCCCAGGCCAGCTGTCATTCCTGAGTATTCACTTTGTGCCGGAGAGGCAGGAATTCCTACTTAGCCCCACTCTGCAGATGAGAAAACTTTGGTTCAGAGAGGTCCAGGGTCCTGCCTTAGACTCCAAGTTTCAGGGTGGCTGAGTAGGTTCATGGATCCAGCACTTGGCTGCTGTCAGCTCTGTGGCCCATCCTTGTCCTCGACTCAGCCCTCTTATCTGGGCCACCTCCACTGTCCTCTTGTTCTCCAGGTGTGGCCAGTGCTTCCTCTTGGATACCCTGAAATGCTGAGATCTGAAATGTTGGTCTGGCTTGAGGTTGAGTGGCAGGAGCCCCAGTTTCTTGAATTGCAAAGTAGGAATGATTTTGCTGCTTTCCATTACTATTGGGAGTTCAGCAAGTTCTGTGATCTTTTAGCTTTTTTTTTTTCAGTACCGGGGATTGAACTCAGGACCTTGCGCTTGCAAGGCAGGCACAGTGCCACTGTGCTAAATCCTTGGCCCATGTGATCTTTTGAATCTGGGAGAATTGTCATTGGCCTTTTAGAGGGGGTTGGTATTCATTGGCTGTGCAAAGGTCCTGAGGTATTGAATTTGAGTTGTTAGAATGTTTTTTTTTAAGAATTTCAAATCTTTATTTAAAAAAATTCCTTCATCACAAGCTTAAACTCTGGAGAAGCTCCCCCAGCCACACACACACCAAAATGTTCATAAATACAGACTGCAGAGGAAATTTAAAACGGTAATTTAGAAACAGGTAAAAAATGATATCCATAGGCATTAGCCCATTCTTCAACAGGCAGGACGGTCCCCAGGAGCTCTGGGGTCAGTGTGGCTGCCTCTCCCTCCTGAATTCACAGGTAAATTTCCATACTTAATCTGGAGGGAGAAAATAGATGTGGTCCTGCAATATTGCTTCCTGCCCCTTCTGGGTGGGTCCCTGGGTTTTTTAATTCACATGAAGTTGAGCTCTTCTTTGCAGCTGATTTTTTGGTCTCGTCACCGTTATTGTCTTTTACCTTTTTTGAATAATTTAATGTAAATGATCTTTGAATATAGCACGATATTGGTAAGGAACCCCAGACATCTGAATTTTCCGGTTCATAATTGATTGAACTTTCAATGAGAATACCCCATGAGTGTACTTCAGTTCTGATTCTACACTGAGAAAGAGAATAAAAATACTCGTAGTAACCCATGGACCTTCCGGTTGCAGCACAGCGAGTTCCTAGATACAGCTCAGACGGCTGGGGCTCCTGGTGATTCCCAAGAACCCGCCATTTAACTCTTACCTGCAGCCACTGTTCACTACAGGTTATAATCACATCTTCTAAACCATGGATGGACACAAAAACCATGAGGAGCATGACTAACACACCACTGATCTTCATCACCTCAGATCTCCGTCCAGGGTACCACAGGAACAGGAAGTAAGGGAAACAGAGTTGTTAGAGTTTGAGTTGTTAGAAACTTGGGTGGCGGGGCTGTAAGTGTGGCTCAGATGCAGCTGCAGGTTTGAGCAGGAGCCTCAACACAGGTCAGGTCATGGCCAGGAATGTGGACTTGCACCTTATGACACTGGTGAGGCATGGAGGGTTTCAACAGCTCAGTACCACTGTCAAGTTTGTTTTTTAGGAAGATCTCTCTGGCTGCGGTGAGGGCTGAGACCACAGGCAGGAGGCCAAGTGATGAGGCCCTTGGGTTTCAATATCCCTTTTGGATAGAGTAAGGTTGGGCGGTCTGCAGAGCAGACTTATCCACCAATTTCCCATAGAGGTTGTATTTCCAGATTCAGGGTTTCGTGTTACACAGAGTTATTCTTTCTGGAATGTGTCCCCCGAGCAACCCCGCCGGACCCTCGCCTGTGAATGCAAGATGCACTGTATGCAAACAAAGCACAGCATCCCCTCCCCAGGCTTGGTGGCGGTGTCTGCCCAGAAACAGTCCAGCAACCAACAGGCAGAGCAGTGCCCAGGAGCTAGGACAGGCTGCAAACAATAGTATCAGCAACAGTCCCAGGACAATCACAGTCAGTGACCTTTACTGAGGACGTGAAGCCTCTGACAGCAGTCATGGCGCAGACTCCCTCAATGACCCTGTAAGGTAGCTGCTATTGAGGTCCATTGTACAGACAGGAAGACTAAGGCTGGTGGGGAGGGCCTTGCCCAGGGTCACGGAGTGGCAGAGCCGCTACCCTCACACTGCCACCTGTGGGTGCTGGGCAGCCTCGGAAGGAGGGTGTGCCTGGCGTGGTGCTGAGCTCTGCTGGATCCAGACATCGCCACACTGTTCCCAGTGTGCAGAAAAGCTAGACAATTCCATCTCAGCATCCTGGTCCTCCCCCACCTTCGCTCCAGCCTGGCAGAGTTTCTTTCCTGGAAGAGCTTGGCAGTTCGGGCTTCCAAACCTAGCAGAAGCCTCCAAGTCTAGAATCCTCCCCATGGTCTCTTCCCTGGCCTTGTCTCTGCCTCCCTCCCCTCTGCTCTCTGCACACCTCGCCAAGCCTATTGGCTTTATTTCAGCTTCTCAAACTTGGAATGGGTGTCTCCCTTTGCCTGGAAGTCTTTCTCCACTCCCTTCTTCTTTCATCTTCTGTGTCAGTGAAAGTGCCACCTCCTCCTGGAAGCCTTCTGTCTTTGATAACAGTAACCGCAGCAGCAGAAATAGCCATCACATTTTGGGGGCCCCTGCAAGCCTGCACTGAGCCTAGGGTCCCCACTCTGTACCCACACAGCAGCACTGCCCATGCCCCAGAGAGAAGCCTGCCCACGTGCATGCATTTCCAGCTCCCCCCAGCCCCCCACCCTCCTGCCCCACCTGCAAAGTCAGCTGCAGTGCTGGGGCCTAAGTTCTGCAGGGTTCTGTCAGCCTAGTCATTGGGGATCTCTTCCGTGGCTGCTTCTCACTCTGGCTCAGGCGGTGGGAAACAACTTACCCACAGGAACTTAGGAGGAAGAAGTGTCGGGAAGAAAGCTGCCACTCAGGCCATTTTACACTGAGAGATGACAAGACAACAAACGTCAGAGGTGTGAGAGATCCTGAGCTGTCTCTGCCTTTGTTTTGCCAAAGAAGGTTGCCACAATTTTTATTTTTGGTGAACTTCTTTTTCATTATGGAAAACTTGGAACATATACCAGCTAGAATAATGTGCCGATCGCCCAGATTCAACAGTTAAAACTCATGTGCAATCCTGTCTCACCTATACCCCACTCCCATCCCAGTGAATTTTTTTTAGGGTGCTGGGGACTAAACTAGGTACTGTACCACTTAGCTACACCCCCAGGCTCCAGAGGATTATTTTAAAGCAAATAAGCAAGCCCAAGACACTGTAACATCTTAACCATAACTACTTTGGTATTTAGTTTTAAAGATAAGAGAATCTTTAAGAAAAGCCATAATACCATTATCACATCTGGAGAAATTATTGTCAGACCTATCCAGTCAATGTTTAAATTTCCCTGATTGTCTCATAAATTTTTTTTAACAGCTTTACAAATGTCCTTATATTCCTCAAGTCTCTTTTAAGCTACAGTTTTTCACTTCTCTGGCTCTCTGGCTCTTTGTCTGTCTCTAGCTCCCTTCCCTCTGCCCTTGACTTACTTGTTGAAGAAACCTGGTTATTTGTCCTGTAGTATTTCCCCAACCTGGCTCTTGTTGCTGGTATTCCTGTGGGGTCCTTTAACATGTTCCTCTGTCCTCTGTCTTTCCTGTAATTAGATCTAGAGGCTTGATCAGATTCGGGTTCAATTTTTGGCAACAATACTTCACAGGAGGTGGGGTGTCCTTCCATCAGGAGCCCATAATGTCTTGCAGTCTGTCTCTTTTTTTGTGAAGTTAGCGGTTGCCGATGTTCATTGCTTAGATTCATTATTTCATTAGGGATTGCACAATGATATTATTCTAACTCTATCTTCCTCCTGCATTTATTAGCTGGAATACTTGAAAAAGGGCAGCATTTCCTTATTAACTCTTTAGATACTTTGAAGTACACTATGATCTCATTCAATACAGGCATTATAGATAGTCAAAGACTTGATTCTATAACAGCTCAAATAATGAGTGGGTTTCCTAGCATCTTAAGAGTTATTTTTAAAGTGTTCTTATGAATATAGGGATTTGATGTATTTCAATCTCTCATGATCCTCATAGATGTTCAAATGCTCCACTACTGCCAGATGGGACCTCTTTGGGTGGGTCCTGAGCCCTTTGACCCCAGTAGGCTCTGATGGCTTCTTTGCTTTCTGGAATGGCAAGGTGTGCTGGACAATCATGTGTAGTTTCTGCCCCAGACCTGAAATCAGGATTTCTCTTTGGATGATATTTAGAGACCACTATCTTGGTTTAAGCAATACCTGTTGCTATTGGACTAGTCATTGTTTCTGGGTCTTTTCAGTAAAAAGAGCTACGAAATACATTTTTTTACAGATAAATTACATGATAAATCATGATTGCCAAGACTTGGAAGCAACCTAGATGTCCTTTAATAGGTGATTGTATACCCAACTGTGGTACATCCATACAATGGAATATTATTCAACTATGAAAAATATTACACGGCACAATCCACAGTAGCTAAGATATGGAACCAGCCTAGGTACCCATCAACAGATGAAAGAATGAAGAAAGTGTAGTAATACACACAATGGAGTATTATTGAGCCTCAAGGAAGAACAAAATTCTGTCATTTACAAGAAAATGGATGGAACTGGAGATCATCATGTTGACTCAAATAAGCCAGACTCAGGAAGACAAATATTTCATGTTTTCTCTAATACGTGGAATCTAAAAAAGATGACAAGAAAGCAAAAGGAAGACTATTATTATACAAGTGGAAGGGAATACAGGGGAGGTGGGTATAAGGGTGAGTAATAAAGAAAATGGATATGAACAAAATGTAATACATATTGAAACCCCTCAGAAATGTGAGACTGAAGCAAAGGTGTGAAGGGGCAAAAGTGATCGAGTATGTTATGTGCATGTACGGATCTGCCAAAATGAAACCATTAATCTGTACACCCAGTTGAAAAAAAGAGAGAACAAAGAGAAGTGATCTTAACTGCATATTTCTGGGTGAAAGAAGCATATCTGTAGGATTCAAGTTCTAGAAAAGCCAAAACTCTGAAGACAGTAGAAAGATCAGAGGTTGTCAGATGTTGGAAGGAGGGAGGGTTTATTCCACCTACTGCTTAGAGTCTGGGGCCTTTTGAGAACAGTGAAACTATTCTATGTGACACGACAGTAGTCCTCCTTGATCTACAGTTTTGTTTCTCCCAGTTTTCATTACTCATGGTCAACTCTGGTCCAAAAATATTAAATGGAAAAGTCCCCACATAAACAATTCACAAGCTTTAAGTCACACTCCGTTTCGAGTAGCAGGATGAAATCTTGGAGTGTCTCACTTTGTGCTGCCTGGAACAGGAATGGTCCTTTTGACTCGTGTATCCGTGCTGAAGATGCTACCCACCCGTCAGTCACTTAGTAGCGGTCCTGGTTATCAGCGGGACTGTGGCGATGTTGCAGCAGTTGTGTTTAAGCAGCTGTGTGTCATAATGCCTATGTCAGTCACTTCAGGTCTCATCATACAGGCATTGTGTCAGCCCAGGTCACTGTGGGAAGGGTGAGTGCAGTATAATAAGGGAGGGAAGGTGGGGGGAAGGGGATATAAACAGAATTGACATGTTCTGTACATGTACCAGCTCCCTACAAATCATTGTGCACTGCGAAGATGTACCAATAAAACAATAAACTGCATCTTTTTAAAAGAGATATTTTGAGAGACTGCATTCATTTAAGTTTTATTAGTCTATTGTTATAATCATTCTATTTTGTTTTGTTTTGTTTTGTTTTTGGTACTGGGGATCAAACTCGAGACCTTGCGCTTGCAAGGCAGGTGCCGGAATAATCATTCTATTTGGTTGTTAGTTATATTGTTAATCCCTTACTGTGCCTCGCTTATAAATTAAAATTTCTTATAAGTGTGTATATATAGGAAAAAAAGTAATATATATAGGGTTCAGTACTATCTGGGTTTCAGACACCCATTGGGGTTTTGGGTAGGGGGGAGCTAGCATATAATGGTGGATATATGTCATTATACACTTGACAAAACCCACAGAACATACAACACTAAGAGCGAACCCTAAGGTAGATTTGAATTTTAGTTAATAATAATGGATCCATATTGGCTCATATGTTATAACAAGTGTCACCCATCAATGCAAGATATTAACCATAGAGGAAGCTGGGGTGGGGAGGTAAAAGGGTATGTGGAAACTCTACTGTCTGTTTAATTTTTCTGTCAACTTACAATTTCTTAAAAATAAGTATCTATTTTTAGAAACCATGTGTTCATATTGACACCTCTAATTTAAATGCTGGCTATAGTGGTTTTTTTAGCTTCATCCATATTACATCTGTGTATCATTTCTCTCATGAGAAATGATCTTTCTCTTTAGTCCCCAATTAAAGATTCTAATTTGCTGAGTCCATTTAACACACACAACACTCTGAGATATACTGGTACCACCATACTTAGTCCATGTGGGTTACTATACCACAATACCTTAAATGGAGAAATTTGTAAATCACCAAAATGTATTGCTAGCAGTTCTGGAGCCTGGGGAGCCCAAGATCAGGGCACTCCCAGATTTGGTGTCTAGTGATTACTGCAAAGATGGGGATGTCTAGAGGTGTCCTTCCGTGGTGGAGGGCAAAGGGGCAGACAGGCTCCCTCAAGCGCTCTTGTAAGGCAGTTAATCCCATTCCTCATTGCCTCAGCAAGGCCCCACTTCCTCATACCACCCTGGAGATTAGTTTCAACTCAGGAATTTGGTGGGACAGATAAAAAATTCAACCACAGCACCCCAAATACTATTTGTTTTTTCTTTTGCAATTTATGTACTTTTTTTTGTACTGGGGATTGTGTTCAGGGCCTTTGTGCTGAGTTATATATGTCCCCAACCTTTAAAAAATGTATTTCGAGACAGGATTTCACTAAGTTGCTAAATTGCCCAGGATAGTTGAGCTTTTAGACAACCCCACGTGGTAGGCATTACCCCGTGTTTTGGGGAAGAAGAAACTAGGACTCAGTGAGAGTTGAGCTGGGATTTGAACTCATGTTTCCTGGATTTCATTGACTCCTCCCTAAGTGTTTCTGGAGTGCCAGCATCTGTTCCAGACCCACCCCTGGTACCGGGATACAGAGATGACTCAGCTGGGTCCTGACCTCACGGGGCTCAGATCTATGGGTCTCTCACGTCTGAGCATACAGTCATGGTAGGACTGTCTATCTGGCTGTCTTTCTGTCCACCCACAGCACAAGGAGCTCCACAAAGAAATCTGTATCTGGTCCACTCTGACTGACAGCCCAGCACTGCAGAAATTAGTGGGTGTTTGTTGAATGAGAAAATAAATGAACGAGGAACAAAAGGTAAAAAGAAAACAAAGCTTGAGGTCCTTGTGGAAGTCTCATGCCTCAGACTCAGAGACTTTTGTAAAAAAAAATTAATGCATTTAAAATTATGAATATAATTCATTATAGAGATTTTGCAAAGTCTAGAAAATGAGAACATAAAAATAACCATAACAAACTCTCAAAGTTAGTCTTTTTGTTTATTCCCTTGATCTTCCGTATATATGAATAGCCTTTTCAAAAAAACATTTGGATCATGATATATATATATATTTTTCCTATAGTTTGCATATTTAAGAAAATCACTAATGGTATATCACGAACATTTTCCTAATTGAACATCCTTTTAAGCCTAAGTGTCTACTTAGGGGTTGGATTTATTTTCACCAGTGATGGCATCCTATACCATATAAAATAACTATAAACTCAAGATTAAGGCTGAAATCACAACAGGAGGAATATTTAACAGGCTTCCAGGCTGCACACAGACTTACCCCAATTTCATAATCCTTCCCTGGCAAATGCCCAGGAAAACACAGAGAGGAAGCTAGCCAGAGGCATCGCCCGTCTTGGCTCTTTAGCATTGAGTTATATTCTCAGCACTTTCACTTTCTCTTTTCTTTCTTTCTTTCTTTCTTTCTTTCTTTCTTTCTTTCTTTCTTTCTTTCTTTCTTTCTTTCTTTCTTTCTTTCTTTTTCTTTCTTTC